CTGACATCATTTGTGAACGGTCCCTAACGTGGCCAAATTCTATTTGAGCCATTAGCAGGAGGAGGTGAGCATCTAAACTTTGATTTTACTTCAAACATGTAGTCCGGATGGGAAAACAGACTGAGGACTCCTCTATTACAAGCAACAAAACAAACAAAAAGTTTAAAAGTATTTTTTTTTAATAGAAGAAAAAGAAAAAAAGTAAAAATAATGTGAGTAAATCTCACTCACATCTTTGCTATATCCACCCCAAGTCCTGATGCAGCCATCCTTGTGAACTTCTCGTAACTTTTCATGACAGCAGGATCATGACCTTTCACTTCCACAGTGATCTGTCTGTACAGTTCATCCTGGAATGAGTACGGTAAAAATAAAAACTCAAAAGGTCAACTCCACAACAAAACATTTCTAATGGTCAGCTGTTTTTGTCGTCACGTGAGAAAAACAAAATCCCTCCCCCCCCCCGTGATTTAAGAATTGCTTCAAATTGATTACCGGTAGTGAACTCATACATCACAAAGAGGACTTGCCCTTTCTCAATGATGTATTCTGACTTGTATTAATTTCCGAGGGTAGTTGTTCACAAGGAGATGAGATAAATTCATTTAGGGTGTTTGTGTGTACATCATAGAGTATCATAATATTGTAGACCATGCTCTTAGACCTGCTTCCAGTTGACTATGGAGTGTACTATTTGACTGAATTTGAGCCATATGAAGGGCAAAGGGGGAACGGGAAAGGAGCCACACACACCTGACTATGGCTATACTGGGGTTTAGCCCTCCGCCAATAGGGCGAAATGGTGAATCCCATGATAAACATCATCAATGCTTTTCACCCCTGGCAGGGTACAGGCCACATACAAGCTCATTCCATTTACGTCTGTCCTGGGCTTCCCTTCCAAGCTCGTTACAAGTGAGCTTCATCTCTCTCATGTCCCTTTCCACACATGTCCTCCATGTTTCCCATGGCCTACCCCTGCCTCGTGCTCCCTGTGGGTTTCACTGCGGTACCTGTGCAGTTTTTCCAGCCTCATAAAGGGTCCTAACGTTCCATGATCCAATCCGAAGAGACTTGGACTTAGATGATGGTGGAGGCTTCTCCTCAGCAGCTTCCTTTCGGCTTTCCACTGCCTCGCATCATAAACTCTCCATTCGGGGAAGATCTACGACCAGCCAAGAAGAGACAATGGTTTTTGCTTGTATGTGTTTCTGTAACAGGTTCTTTTTACGAGAGAGATTGTTAGCCTCGTGACTCAACCCCCGACCTGGAGGGAGGATGACTCTGTTTTGGGAGTCAGTACCTGGTCCGTCATTTAGTCGCCTCGTACGACACTCTAGCACCACGTCAGTCCTATTCTCTCAATGCCGGGACTGCACGACAGAATGATGAACATGCTTTACAGCAAAGTTTTAAATAGAGAACAAAGAACAGTGGGCATGACAGTGCTCGGTCTAAAAGAACAAGACTATGGTGAATATGTGCTGTGAAACGACTCGAGAGGCTAGGGGATTTGGATATTGTACGGTGGGGAGGACGTTTTGAAAGGAACAGATAGAGTAGAGAAAATTGGGTAGTCTAACAGTGACATGGGATAGTAACTGATGTCTTATACTATACCCAGTTAGGTAACTTACACTGGTAACTTCATAAATCAGTCTACAGCCCCTCCCCCTCACATAGATATCCAGTACCCACTGCATACACAATCCCATATCAGTTCCTCAAACTGATACTGATAACAGATGGCGTGTATGACAGAAGCTGAGATAAAAACTTGAGTAGGCCTGATGTCAAAAATATTTGCAATCTATAATTGTTATAGGCTACAGCTACCAACAGTTTTTGTGAACAAAATACATGTAATTTACATGTATTAGTCTCCCACTTATCTCATCCCATGACTTATGAGCAATAAGCATACAAATTTAATCTCAGCTTCTCCTCTTAAAAAAAAAACAAAAACGACCAGAGGTGTAAGAACCAG